GATGGAGGGCAAATATTCTTCAAGCCCTTTAGGAATCTCATGAGCGTGGGGTGGGAAAAGAGTGTAGCGGAGCTAGATCCAGGAGGTTGAGCCACTATTGCTGCAATGTACACCTTAATGGTGGAATGTGCCAGTCCAAGGTTAAAGAGATACATAATAAAAGTAAGTAGAGTCGAGAGAGATGATGGGACTGGGGTACGTCCCTTAGATTCAGTGAATTTGAGGAAGGATTTCCATTTATTATGATACAGGCGAGAAGTGGCTGGCTTCCTAGCCTGGTTTAAGATTGCACGGAATTCGGGGCTATCCTCCACGCCGTCAGATGTAGGGATCAGACATTGGGATGGAGAATTGCCCCGTTGCTCTGGGAGGGGAGAGATGGTATCAGAGGTAAGTGGAACAGTTCTTATTTATTTATTTATTTATTTATTTACTGGACTTATATACCGCCCCATTGTGTTATCTCTCTCAGGTGGGCGAACCACTGTTGTTGTGGCCACCATGGGGTGATGAGAATCGTGTCTGTTTGGTATTGGATGATCCTGGTTATTGTCCTGAGCAACACTGGTATTGGAGGAAAAAGGTAAGTGAGTTCTCCGGACCACAGTATCATGAATGCATCTCCAAGAGACCCCATGTCCATGCCCACCCTTGAGCAGTACCTGTGGCACTTGGCATTGATATGGGAGGCAAAGAGATCTATTGCTGGCTGATCCCATCTGCGGCAGATGTTCTGGAAAACAGTGTCATTGAGGGCCCACTCGTGCGTCCCCGTGGGGAGCCTGCTTAGGCGGTCTGCCAAGTAGTTCTCCGCCGATGAAATATGTATGGCCTGAGGGGCAATACGGTGGGTGTGACACCACTCCCAGAACTTTATGGTGAGGCAAAGAAGAGGACATGATCAGGTTCCTTCTTGTCTGTTTATGTAGTACATGGCTGTGGTATTGTCGGTCATGAGCTGTACAGTGGTGCCCCGCATAGCGAGGTTAATCCGTTCCAGATTAACCTTCGCTATGGGGAAACATCGCTATACAGATCAAAAAAACCCACTGGAACGCATTAAACAAATGGGCCCAAAACTCACTGTTCTGCGATGTTTCCCCATGTTCCGGTGGCCATTTTGGGTGTTCCGGCAGCCATTTTGGGTGGCTCCGGCGGCCATTTTGGGTGTTCCGGCAGTCATTTTGGGTGTTCCGGCCACCGCCGAACAGCTGTTCCCCCTCGCTATGCGAAGAAACATCGGTATGCGATCGCATTAGCGATCGCAAATTCCGCATCGGTATGCGGATTCATCGTTAAACGGTGTGCTCGTTATGCGAGGCACCACTGTACTGATTTCCCCGCAATTCTGGGGAGGAAAGCCTGAAAGACTTTTATGATGGCAAACATTTCCAGTTGGTTTATGTGGATCATTCTTTCGCCCTTCGACCACAGTCCATGTATCTGAAGTTCCTGGCAGTAGGCTCCCCAACCTGAGGGGCTGGCATCTGTCATCACCTGGATTGACAGAGGAGGCGGCCAGAACGGTCTGCCAACCAACAAGCTGTGGTGGCAGGCCCACGATGAGAGTTGATTTGCCACCTGTGGTGGTACCACGAGCTTTTTTAGCTGGGTGTCCATTGCGGGATCGAATTGTGACAGGAACCAGGATTGAAGTGAACAGAGTTTGAGCCTGGTGTAGGGAACCACCGATGCTGTGGAAGCCATAAGGCCCAGCAAGTGCTGAACTTTGAGAGTGGTAACGGTACTGCGAGATCGGAAGTAGTGTACTGCCTGATGGATTTTTGCTATTCAGTTGGGTGGTAGGAATGCTTTCAACTGATGGGCATCCAGTTGTGCTCCTATGTAACTCACAAGTTGTGATGGTACTAGGTGGGATTTTTCTGAATTTATTTGCAGGCCTAATTTGTGCAAGACCTGAAGACTAGTTCTTGTGGATGCGATGGCTTCCTGGCCTCTTCGCCATGTGCAAGATAAGTTGCGTATATGACGTGTAGTTCTCCAAAGGGGACTGCGATATATTGCCAGTGGCACCAGCATCAGGAGCTTTGGATTTGTCAGATGATGATGAGTTGGCACCTCAAGATGACTGAGAGGTCGACGGTGGTGGTCGTGGTACCGGGGCTGATAGGATAGGTTCAGCATCCGATTGAGTAGATACAGAGAAAGATTCTGTATCATGGTCGTGAGGACCGGAATACAGCGTGGTAGCCTGTACCGAGGCACGGCCTCTATGAAGTTTAAGTTGTTTAGGCGGCACGGAAGGCTTCTGTATCATCGGTCAATTTCGGGATGGTGCAGCTTGAGGACTGGAGACATCCCCTTGGTACTGCAATGACGTTTTCCATGGAGGAGCTATGGGAGGGTACCAGGGTGGTAGCAGGTAGTCCGACCCTTTGTACTGATCATGGTAGCCATATCCCTGGTATGGATAGGGATGGTACTGGTCAGGGTATGGATGACCATAAGGAGGTAAACCCTCTGGATGGTAATATTACTCCTCAAGCCAGGAAGGCTGGTACGGACAGACATGTTTGCGTTTCTCCTTACTTTTCTTAGGAGTGCATGGAGCAGACTCCCATTCCGACTCAGTCTCGGTATCTGCTCGCCCTGAAGATTGAGGGCTGAAAGGGGCTATGGCCAGGCTGGATGGTGCAACAGCCCCAAATCGGCCCAAACTTGGAGACATGCTAAGAATATCATGAGCTTGTTGGGCTGGAGGTATAGCGCGTTCCTCCCTTTCGGAAAGCCCAATATCGTCCCTCGAAGAATCCTGCACGGGTATAGGAGGTATAGAAAAGGGTGCGGTAGCCGACTTGGCTAAGTCCTTTTGCCTCTTAGGCTTCTCCTTGTCCTTTTCTTATTTGCAGGATCAGAAGACCATGGCTGAACCTTGGAGGAAGCCGAATTAGGCGTTTTTTAAAGAGTTCTTGGATTTCACAGGTAAAGAAGTTGTGCTGGAAAGAGACTGGGCAACACAGCTAGTAGTCGATTTAGCAGTCTCCTGGTGAGGAGGGTTGGAGGAAGGGAGGGCTGTAGCCTCCATAGCAGAGTTGAGAGATTTTTCGTAGAGAAAAGATTTCAATCGTTGGAGCCACAGCTTAATAGCCTGCTTGGAAAAAACTCCTGCACGCGGTGCACGACTGGGTGAGATGGGTTTCTCCCAAACAAAACAGACAAAGATAATGCCCGTCTGTAAGTGGAATTTGTCGAAGACAAACGGAGCACTTCTTAAAGCCCCGAGGGGCCATAAAACAAAAAAGGGAAAGAAAAACGGGGGGCAGGGAACCATTGAGGGAAGGGGGGAATGATAGAATGGGAAAAAGGGATAAGCTGGAGGTTCTATTGTCAGAAAAAAAGAACAATATAAATAATAATTTATAATATATTGGAGAAAATGTAAAAGGTAGATTTAGCAAGGCTAAAATCACTTCCCTTAGCGCTCTGGATTCCTAATGTCCTACTCAAACAATGGAAAAGAGGAAACTGAAAGGAAGGTTGAGGAGGCAGAGCACATACCCTGCGGGGGGGGGCGGAACTAATTGACCTTTCCCCCCCTAGCTCTAGAATCTTCCAAATGTCCTGCACAGGTGCAGGATAAATCCATATGTGTGCATTCACGAGGCCATTACGAAGAATAGTGGTTCTCCTTGACAGACTCTGATTTCTGTTCTATAAACAACTCTCAGCATTCCTGCCACAATTAAGTTACCCAGCTTGCCACCCCAGCTAGGATCTGCTAATTATTTATTGGACTTGGACTTATATACCGCCCCATAACGCTGCAAGCACTCTCCGGGCGGTTTACAATTTTAATTATACAGGCTACACATTGCCTGTATAATTATTAATTAACAGTTTGATAGCTACATTCCTGTGCTAAGAACCCATTGTCATTTTGCCTATTACCTATATCCTCACCATGATGAAGATAAGTACAAGGGATGTGTACTTCCACTTCTATATTTGAAGAAGTGGATTTTGATTAATGAAATATTACACTGAAATAAAACTGTTAAGATTTCATTTAGATTAGGCATCCTTCAGTCTCGAGAGACTATGGTAACGTGCTCTGAATAGACGTCTTGGAACAGCGACTAGTGTGGCTGAGGAGGCCAATTCAAGAGTGACAGTCCCTTCCACACTGAAGACAAATCCAATCTGTCCCTGTCCAGCTCCCTCATTTTGCTCCTTTTGGGACTGCCTCTTCGCCTTGGCCTGCTGAACAAGGGTCTCTTAAAATTGGGAGAGGCCGTGATGCACTGCTTGCTTCCAGGCTGAATGCTCAGACTGTTAAACTGTTAAAGTGCTACAATATTTTGCCTTTTGACAGCATCCTGAGACAGACTAACATGGGCATTTCTTTGGAAAACAAACTTCTTTGCTGTATGTTCAGCACAGACTTTCTCCTCCTCCTTGCATGTGCTCTTTCTCTTTGTTTTCTCGCCCTCCTCCACAGAACGTAACTCTCCTTCCACTCTACAGCTTGCTCTCCTCCTGGTATCACCAGGCAGTGAGTGACCCCTTTCCTTACAAATGACAGAGATGCAGTAAGGAAAGCAACAGCTGGGGCTGCTAGCATTTGGGTTTCTCCAGAGTGCCTCTGGGCCTATGTGAAGCTGCCCAGAGGCTTCCTGAAGAAATGAAAATGCTGGACGGGTGGACCACCACTTTCTCCACTGAGCACCCAAGCTTTTCTCAATTTTTTTAAAAAAATAGAAACAGTGCCGCAGCATGTAATCAATGAGAGTGAACAATGGGGTGGGAGGGAATAAAAAGGAAAAGAGAAAGTGGTGGAAAGGCCATATTTATGTGAAAGGTTTCCCCCTCCCCCCAAGATGGATGTGTTTTTGGGTTTCCAGAGAATGCAGCCTGTATTTGCAGCCAGTCTACAGTCTGCAATTTTTGTCATTTACAAAAGATTGTATTCTAGTTTTTTAGAAGTAGAAATGTTTAGGTTTTGCCTCTCAGTAGCCAAACACAGGTTAGTCTGAGCTTACCTCCACATAGAGAATAGGAAATATTCCAATCTTATCTCCCAGCATTCCTTCTGCCCAATTATCATCTACTCTCCTGATGACGGTCAAAATTTCATCCTAAGGGCAAAAATTACAACATAATGCATAAAAATAGACAGTTTTACACATTCATGTTTTTACGAGGAAATGATGGGTTTCTTCAAAGGCATTCCAGAAGCTTCCCACAAAGCGAAACATAAGAAATCATTCCAGGCAGCAAAGAGGTCTCCCACCTGAGGGTTACACAGCAGGTTACACTTTTCAATTACTTTTCCAATTAGTAATGTGAAAACAAAACAATAGTTATGCAATGGTAATTAGGGATTCCAAAACATGTGAATGTGAATTCTTACAGCCTGTGTCAGATGTATTGAACTTCAACCTCCCTCATCCTGAGGCAGCACGTCCGTTGATTTTGTGGACTGGTAATAATGTGGGCTGTGTTCCAATACATCTGATGGACAGTGCTGACTAGGGACAGCTGCTGTATATCAGTCCTGGAATAGTTGTACAGTAAAGAACGTTGGCTATTTAATGAATAGTTAGTGATCCACCTCAGTGAAAAGGGAACAGATCTGTAAATACAGAAGTAAAGGGATTAATAATTATTATTACACCTGAAGTGATGTAAAGGTAACTTATAAAACCAGACCACACTGCATTCAAATGGTAACAGGCAGCCATTTGTGGTGAATTTGAAGAATTTCCAGTAGTTTGAATTAGAAAACACAAATTAGTCGCATTCCACACAGAATATGTATCTTTCTTTCAATCCTCTTTTTTTTTCTTGTGGGGGGAAAAATCCATCTGTAGCCCAGAGAATTTAAACATGATGTCTATAAGTTAGAATAAATTAGTTCAAATGTTAAAAACAAATATTATTTGGGGTGACAATAAAGAGGCAGATGCTAAACTACTTCCACAAGCTTTGCTTTGAGCAGTACATCTGCATAAGGAGCAATTGAGACTAGCTAGAGATACAGCTTGGAAGTTACCATTTTGGATGTCAAGTCATAGAATTCCCCCTGCCAGTATGAGTGCTGCTAAATGCTACCTCAAAAGTAATTTTTCCAAGATCTGGATCAAAATAGGGTGGGTAGGTGGACTTGAACCTAAGCAGCTATTCAAAAGTACCAAGCCCTGTGTAATGGTTAGGCTCAGAGCAGCTACAATCTCCCAACAACTGGCAAGATCAGTTGCTTGGCTCTTTCTTTGCTGCTCTGTCCATAACCTTCTGGGAGCTTCTCCTGTCCCTTAATTACTAGGACACAAGAATAATGGCAGTTTATAGGCCTTACTTGCCTACCATTACTGTTTCACCTACCTAGTTCTGACAGATATAGTAATAAATCATGCAATAAAAAAACTAAGCAGAAAGCAGGAACAGACATTTTTCAGTCTGAAAATTTCCAGAGTCCAATGACAGTACCTGCCTGATTGCCACTCTCACTGCAGCTGTGGAATTTGCATATATATGCAGAGGGAGAAGCCAGTGGGATGACACTCACTGGCATGTGGAATATACAATTTGCAGGAGAAAAGCACAGCTATTGCCAGCGCTGTAATGTCCCTTTGTGCACCATGCAAAGAAATTCTATGAATCACTCCGTGTCCTTTTCTTACTGAGAGCAGATTCAGATGTCACATTATACGTAAGGCCACAGATGTAAGGAAACTTGTCACTCGACTTCTGTACTAATAATATAACATACAAATGACTGACACGTAGTTCTCAGTGCTTACAAGTAACTCACAATAGCAAAAATGAATATGCTGCATCTGGCAATCCATCACCAGCACTGTGAAGTACTCCTCAGGAGAGCAAGATTAATGTTCTTTAACCAATCTCCTTTTTAGCAGATTCTACACTGAGAATTCCACTGTAACAGTGCAACCCCAAACATGTTTACTCAGAAGTCAGTCTCACTGAGATCAAAGGGACTTATTCCCAAATGATTATGTATTCACAATTGTAACCTAATCTTTCTTATTTCCTTTTATTTTGAAATGTTACCATTTTTTACTTTCTACAAATCATCTGTGTATAGCAACATAAACTCTTCTCACTCTCTGATTTTGCCTCATCCTCTCTTGTTCCTTCTGAGACAGCAGCAAGCAATGCCTATAAACTTTCAAATATATCTTTGCAGGCAGTTCCCAACATTACAAATATTTAAAATAAGCAGAAAGTTTACAGGAAGCTGGAATCTTTCCCCAATACCACATTTCTGTGTTTACTGTGGAATTGTGGCATACACTCAACTTGGACCATGATCAGATCACTAGCAACCTAGAGTCAGCTTATAATATAATAATCTTAGAATTGCAGAGCTGGAAGGAACCCTATGGACCATCGAGTCCGGCCCCCGCCATGAAGGCACAGTGGGGAATTCAACTCTCAACATCTATCTATCTATCTATCTATCTATCTATCTATCTATCTATCTATCTATCTATCTATCTATCTATCTATCTATCTATCTATCTATCTATCTATCTGTCCGTCCGTCCGTCCGTCCGTCCGTCCGTCCGTCCGTCCGTCCGTCCGTCCGTCCGTCCGTCCGTCCGTCCCATTCCCTTCCTCCCCTTCCCAACAACATACAAGGAAGGACATAGTAGAGTAGCAGAGGGAATAAGGATATGAAATCTAGTAAGCTTCCAAGCTGAGTGGCTAAAGTCTCCTTCTTTCCTTCCCTCCCTACCTTGATTTATATGCCACACCTTTAGGGGAAACACTATTCTGGGCAGTTTACAAATTAAAATGTAGAACCCCATACAACCCCACATAGCAATACAATAAATATGGTAGTTCTAAAATTCTAAAGGTCTAAAATTCAGACAAAAAGAAAAAGAAAAAGAAAAGATATAATTAGCATCCAGGGGATAGGTTATTGAAGGCAGTTCTATATAATTTTCTTTTCACTAATTTCCTGAATATCAAGAGGGAAGGATATCTCAGTTGGAAGTTTATTCCAAAGAGTAGGGGCCAGCACTGAAAAAGCTGAATTCTTTGTTGTTGCCTTTTTATTTTTCCTTGGTGTGTCCACTTTTAGTGAAGTGAAACAAGATGCTTATTTCTGAGAGAGACATTCCAACAAATATTAAGGCCCTAAACTGTTTAGGACTTTGCAGGTCAGAACAAGAACCTTGAGCTGAGCATGGAAACTACCTAGAATCCAATGAAGGCAAGTAGAGACTGGGGATATGTGACTGAATTTACTTGCTCCAGAAATCAGTCTGGCCACCGCATTTTGAACCTGCTGAAGTGTCTCTACTGTTTTCAAGGATAGCCCGACACATAGAGCATTACAGGTCTGATCATCTGTTGCCAGATTAGATTTCTTAGGAATGGGTCTTATTATAGTTTCTTTTAAACAAGAGGGCACACGGCCTTCATGAAAGGATGAATTGATGACATGGGTGGCCCATTTTACCATTGTATTCTTAGCCGATTTTATTAGCCAAGATGGGCAAGGATCTAAAAAAGAGGTAGTGACTTTGCAGTGTGCAAGTACCTTGTCTATATCCTCAGGCTTTACCAACTGAAACTGATCCAATAAACCCTGAATAAACAGTGCACTGGATATCTCAGTCTGGTCAACTGGGTTAACTAAGGAGTCAAAGTTGTGACGGATGTGTGGAATGGATCTTATAAAGATAAGTCATGATTGGCTTTTTTTTTTTGTTCTCATTTACTTTAAAGGTTATTAGGCTAATCCATGAGATTTAAATCAACATCACACTAGCATCAAGGCATCAGCACAGCAGGATTTTATGTTCCTCTCTCGCACAACTTTCCACATTGCTCAAAAACCTGTTTGGAAGGTTTTCCCAGCTATCCAGAGCACGCTTGGAGGGAATGGATCTGCAGCTTCAGGTAGAAGAATAATTTCCTCCCTCCTGGTTCTACTGATGGAAGCAGTTTCACAACAAAATAACTATAGTGGATCCTGACAATGGGGGTGTGTGAATCTGGCAATGATTGTGAACCTCAAAAACATCTACTTTACAGTATCCATTCCTGAGCACAGTGAACACTGTGCTTCAAGCTCTACCTGTTGTCTTCTGGGAAGCATTTGGTTCATCAGTAGGGAATACCAGACTTGATGGAAGTTTGGTATGATCCAGCAGCACTCTTCTTGTTTCAATGGACAAAATCTCTTGTGTAACTTATGTTGGTGTAGTGGAAATGACATTGGCAACAGTGGAAAATAGCTATTAAGGAGTCTGCACTTTGATTCTTCATTGCTTCAACTTCGTCTCTTCAACAAGGTACATCCAACAAGTATTAAGGCCCTAAACTGTTTAGGGCTTTACAGGTCATAACCAAAACCTTGAACTGAGCACGGAAACTACCTGGAATCCAGTGAAGGTGAGTCAAGACTGGGGATATGTGATTGAATTTACTTGCCCCCAGAAATCAGTCTGGCCACTCCTTAATTAGCAGCAATCTGCTGCTACCAGTGACATCATTTTCTCTATGCTGGCATAATTTATCCAGATTTAGCCATTTTATGCTGCCTTGGAAGGGATTTCTTGCTATCGAAGTCAGCGTATGATAAAATAAATCTGTATGTTCATATGCTCTTAGAGTACATATCAGTTCTTCAGTTTTCTTCATTATCTGCTATTCTGCACATATAGTACATTGATTTCCATACAGCAGAACTTGAAAATCATTATTTAAAAAGATGCCTTCCATTGTTTGCAGTGACATCTTATGGGCTTCTTTTTGTGTCCTGTAGCCAAAATGTCTCAAAATTAGTCACTTTCTGACAGTCTCTTCAATAGTATTGTTAAGATGAACAGTTCCATTTTACAAGTGCTGCCAGAAGCTATGCTGAAGATCAATCTTTTCCATCAAGATTGATTCTTTCCTTTTACAGGGTGGAAGGGGGCAAATGAGATTCTTTGTTGGATAAAAAAGGTAAGACATTATGGCACCAACACAGCTACACCACATGGAATGGCATTTAGTAATGTTGTTTGTGGCATTTTTTTTAAACTGAGAAAGCATAGCCAAGCTGAGTAATGGAGAGATTTCAATGATGGCAGAACAGCATCATGGCACATACTGTTCTGTTATCACTATCATCATTATTTGCCAGCTGATAATAACAATGCAAAGCCATTTATAACCATAAAAGAAAAAGAAAGACTCCTCTCAGGATAAATTACTAAGGATCTAATGCTAGTTGTCACATGACTTATAGTTAAAAATGAATTTGATTTTGGCTATGTGGGAATTCATTCATTCATTCATTCATTCGATTTGATTTTTACCCTGCCCCTCTAGACAACGTCTACTCGGGGCAGCTTACGTAGATTAAAACACATCAAGATAACATATATAAAAATACAATTAATTCTAGGGCAATCGCCTCACTCTAACACTGGTCCCATATACCTCATAGGCACTAGGTAAAGGTAAAGGTTCCCCTTGACAATTTTTGTCCAGTCGTGTTCGACTCTAGGGGGCAGTGCTCATCCCCGTTTCCAAGCCATAGAGCCAGCGATTTTGTCCGAAGACAATCTTCTGTGGTCACATGGCCAGTGCAACTTAGACACGGAACGCTGTTACCTTCCCACCGAAGTGGTCCCTATTTATCTACTTGCATTTGCATGCTTTCGAACCGCTAGGTTGGCGGGAGCTGGGACAAGCGACGGGCGCTCACTCTGTCGTGTGGATTCGATCTTACGACTGCTGGTCTTCTGACCCTGCAGCACAGGCTTCTGCGGTTTAGCCCGCAGCGCCACCACGTCCCTTCTTTGGTTATGAAATGACGCTCTGAAGGGAGACTGAGAAAGAAATTTTAGAAGTGCATATGTGGAGAGATTTTTTAAAAAAAATTGGGGGCTTTACCTTTCCTGGAATATCCCAGGCAGGATGAGTAGCCTGTGAATTAAAGTCCAAAAAGTTAGCTCTTCCTATCTCTGCTTCGGACATACATTTTGTTGAATACAAATATGCTTAAAGGGCTCAGGACAAGTTAGGAAATGTCTTTTCATGGGAAAACATAGCCACACTGAAGAAACCTATCTTGGCTTAACAAGCTGAAATGTACACAAGTCTTGTTCCTCTACATGTAACTGCTCTGCTTTTTTCTTTATATGTATGTAAGCGAACAAACCGGGAGGTCTTTCATCAACTACTAATGTCCCTGTGAAATACCTTAGATTAACAGACAATAACAGGTCCAGGGTCACCCAGCAAACTACAATTAACCAACCACTTTTGGATCTTTCTTTTCCCCAACTATCACCTGTCAACAGACATTCTTTCAGACTGCAACTGGGAAGGGAAATACCGGCACTTCATCAACCTTGCTGAGTGGCTAGCTCCCATTAGAGCTTCCTTTCTCAAAACAGTTTTCATTCTAGCTAGTCATAAAAATGTAAGCACTGTTGCCCCATTTCTCCTCTCTTTCCATCCTCTTCTACTTTTTATGCCATGTTTGCAACGTGTAAGCTTGGACAGAACGCTAGTTTTGCTCTTTAAAAGACTGTTCAACCAGCTGCATTGGAAATATTGCCAGCTGAAGAGCAGAGTACACAAATAAATAAATAATGGAGTAACTGCTTGCTATTATGTCCCGGGCCATATACAAATCCCCCCTTAAAATAACAACAAAATTCTGGAGAAGGGGATTCTATACACACTCAGAGACACTGAGTCTAGAGGGCCCAGAACTATTTAAAACAGATTTTTTTTGTGATAGCTGGATTCTGAACTCAAGAGAAAATTGATTGCCATTAGCTTAATTACTGGAAGAAATCTCCAATGGCTACAAAGAGACATGGTAAATAAGAATATGGAGGAAGAACTGCAACTGCTTGATCAGAAATATTGTGGTTGCGAGGAAGATTCAAAGGTTTTGGACCTGGCTTCCACCATGGAAGAAATAGCTGCAATGAGAAACATTATTTCACCATAATCACCATTACCAGGAAATGTGTAAAATTGATTTCTGTGATATATTTATTAATGCATCCACTTTCAGGGAATCTGAGCCACAATGTAGCATTGCAAGTGAATCAGATGGTCATTTAATGTAAGGCAAAGCAGCTCCCATTCTGTTATCATTATATTGGATTTGACACTTGCAACCCTATGGACCTCACCAGGAAGTCATAAATGGAAATGAGACTGCAATCCAGCTCATGGTTTCTGGAAGGCTCAATCTCTTTCTCAAATTAAGCTGAAGTGAAAAATTTGAAAACTTCTTCGACTGGGAAATCAGACCAATGACAAGAGGTGGTTCAGGCCATTCATGGAGGAGCTGAGCTGACTGACTTTAGCAGCGTGGGGGATATGAAATCCATCTGAACAGAAGATCTCCATCAGTGGTGTGACAGCTGCAATTAGCATAGGAAAGCCTGATGAAATAAAGACAGAGTGAAGCTCCAGAATGAGAAATAGATTATCTGCTGTCAGAGAAGACAAGAGACAAAGACACGGTTCCTAGGTGGCAGGGAAAAAAACCTGAAGAATAAAAATGCGGCAGAGAAACAATCAAAGTCCTGAGGCAAAACAGAGCAACTACTGGTTAAAAAAGGAAACATACTGTAAACAGAGACAGTAATATGATCAAAGATGAATGAGAAGCCAGTTATAACGCTGGTGGGGCGGGAATCTTGTGCTTAAAAATGGTACCAGATATACACTCAGGAAAGCAATAGCAGCATCTCATATGTTGTTTATGACAAAATAGTCAAATAAGAACATGGTTACATTAAGGGGGAAAAACTGTATTCAACCCTGGTTTAGCACATTTTAAATCAATGTTTTAAAAGATGACAACATGATGCATATAGAATTCCCACCCCTGCCCCCTGGATGCATGTTTTTTGGTCAGAAATCAAGGTATTTTACTGGGTGGCAAGAGGATCATTTAATCTAACTCTTTGGGAAATCAATTTGTTAGTTCTGGCATATGAGAAGGCCTTATGATTTAGCAAAGTGTGAGGCAGGCAAATGGAAAAGCCTGAGGTGCAGGGTCAGAGGCACGAGTGGGATGCATAGCTTAAGCGAGGAGCAAAGAGCTGTCTTTGCAATAGGACAAAAACATGGATCTGAGGCACAGATTCTTATGGAACCACATGAGTTTTATGTAGGATCATCCCCAAAACACTGTCCACTCACAGGCACCATCTCTGCCCATAGATTGGACAGTGATTTAGGGATGATTCTACATGAAAAATCATATAGATTTATGAGGATCCATGCTGTGGATAAGTGTTTTTGCACCACTGTGAAGCTAAGTGCCACAGGATCCATGGTATAAAGAAGACTTATGGTTTGACAGTGGTTTGGGTCAGATCAAGTGTCTTCTTGCCTCTTTGCGAACACCCACAGTCCATCCTGAGTTGGTGTTCTTTGGAGCCAAAAAAGGCTAGAACATTTTCAGGAGCCATGAACTGCCTTTTTTCTCTCCTTCCAGTCCCTAACACCTTTCTTTTTATCCCCCTCCATGCCTCTCTTCCTAAATGCTATTTCTCTCTGCCTCCCAGGGAACAGCTGAAGCCTTCTTAAAGGAACGGAAGTATGCAAGCTTTCGAAAGGGACCGGCAGCTTTGCCAGCAGACTCTCCTTCTCCCTCACCATACCAGCAATGACAAGTGGCCAGCAGAAGAGTGAGCAGGTGGGTGGGTGGGTGGAGGTCAAAGCCCCAATTGCAATGATTTTAAAAGCCCATGTAGCCCCCCCTCAAGCAATATACAATACACCATAAATATGGATTGAGGACATACACACAGATCCAAATACCATGTAACTACCACATGATTTTAACCCAATTTAAAAAAAAAACCCTGATTCATTTTCATAGTGTAACCATGCTCTAAGGCAAGCTAACCCTGGAAGCGATGTTGAGGTCCCCTCAGCTTGCTGTGCTAGGGGAATTCAACACTTATGCTAAGATCACCATGTGGCTCAGGATTTCTTTTTCTTCATGACAACTATGGGGCTGTCTCAAATGGCCTTCATCATGTTGTGGGGCACACTCCGGGCCTGTTTTTGTTTGTTTGTTTTTACTGGCCAGGATAACAATGGTCTGGTTTTGAAAGAATTATGTACAGTTCTGTTGTCAAAGATGGATCAGTATCAGTAGGGTAGAGATTCAGGGGATTATGGGACATCTGTGTTAGTGGGGTGCTGATTCAGATTGTCTGCCCTAGGATGCTGAGTGATATGCATGGTTGCCTGACAACTGTTTGGGAGTTTATTTTTGCCTCAGTGGGCAATCCTGTGGAAGTCATGATTCAGCTGTGGAACAAAGAATGACTGTAGGCACAATAGCTTCTAAGCAGTCCTTCCTGTGGAAGAGTGTCAAACTAGCCCCATGGTTTTCTCGAGAGCTGGCAGAGATAAAACTGAGGCTGTATGACAGGTTGTATGAGGTGACAGGAACCAACTTCAGGATGGATGTTTAGAGATGGTCTGTGGAAAGTTGGAGGTGCACAATGTGTGCATACCAATTTGGAGCTCAGAAAGTGCTGCTGACCCCCTGTGAAGGAGGGGAGATGCTAGCAAGGTGTTCAGTGCTATAAATATTGCTCATATTATTTTCACATAATGAATTACGATGATGGGTTGGGGGCACAATTTGTGCTGCTTGCCTGGCTGCCATGATTGCTAGTTACACCTCTGTAGCTGTAGTCTCCAGATGTTTGTTTTGCATTTGTTTTCTTCCCACTTCCCAATAGTTGGACCTCAGAGGAATTCAAAATGCTGACCAATCTTTAATCGCATATGGTGATTTTCATGAATGAATGCATCATGATATGATTAAATCAATATCAAACCATATCCTGGAAAAATGTAATTCTTCATTGTTGTGCTTTCTGGAGTGGTTTCAATTTGCTAATTAGGAATTGATGTTTAAATTTACCTTAGTGAAGGTCAAACAGTCCTTGTCTTGATCCTTGTCCTTTATTTCAAAGTCATAAAGTGCTTTGCCTTGAGGCGGAGCTGGTGGAAGGGGCTTGATACACTGGATGTAGCTTGCTGGGAAAAAGCCATGGTTTCCATTCAGTTCTCCATGATACCAATTCTCATCTACTTTTCGACGCAGTATAATAATGTCTCCTTTGTTAAACTTAAGGTCACCTGGTTCTTTCCCTTCGTAAGCATAGAGTGCTTTTCCATAAGGAAGCTGAGAGGAGTTCTGCAACAACAACAACAACAACAAAAGATATCATGTATTCTGATTATACCAATCACAATGCAATTAGAAAGATACAGTGGCCAGAACCCCATTGGTGATTTATGTGTAGGTAAGTTACATTGTTTAGCTCACCATGGTAAATTGTCACTAACTAACAAAACATCAGTCGCTTTATCAGATGTGTGCTTGTTGCATAACCAGGCAAATGGCTCATAATGCAACTAATGCATCATTAATTGTGGGCAATTCACTGTGATGAGATACAAACTATAATATATAAATGTGCAAACCAACAAGTCTAACTAATAATGTTTTATTACATAAATTATAATACACATCTTAAAATTTCTATTTTCATTTGATTCATTCCCTGCTTTTTCTACCAAGTACAGCATTGAGGCAATTTAAAAACACCAGTTTAACACAAAACAGAATCTAAAATTGCAGTAAGTTGCAGAAGCTTTTGAACAACTGAAACGTTTAAAGCAAAAAATTTAACAAAAAGAGAAATATACATAAACCTGATTAAATAACATCATCCTTATTACCTGCATAAAAGCAGTCAGTCAGAAAGCTGGGCATACTTCTCCAGGAGACTGGGTGCCACAACCCTAAAAGGACCTTCTTGGAAACATAACTCTTAGCTTGTTTGTCTGCGGGAATCAAACAAGGAACTTTGAAGAGGAACAGGGTTCCAGTCATGTCGGAGGAGAAGAGAGTGATTCCTGATTCCTGATTCCTCCCCCCACATTCAGGATCAGTTCACATAAATTCCGAAATGTGGAAGGCACAGTTAAATAGGAATTAACACTCTGCAAGAATGCAGAACAGCCACAGAAAGTAAATACTGGACGTGGAGATTATTTATGTGACTAATTTCAAGGTTGATTTTAAAATAAAAATTTCCAGCCATTATGACTTCACACAAAGGTGTCTGTTATCTATTTGCAAAGGTATGTTTGACAATACTGTACTATATATGGGTAAAGTCAGTTAAAAATCTCAGAAGTTAGAGCAGCAGATTCTGTATTCTGTGTTTAGGAACAGAGGTTTCGTTATCATTCAGAATCCTTTGCCTTTCCTGTGACTAGAAGAAGCAAAATAAAATATGCAAAATAGAAAAATAATCAGGATAACATTATATAAAATAAGTTAGATCATGCAGATCAGAGTATTTTGTATGTGAGTAAATAATTAGGTACATATTTCTCAACTGGCCAGTTGCATAACTTAATTTATTGTTGCAGAGTACACATAGGCTGCAGTCATGTCCCCCCCCCCCCCGCTCAGACCATAAGGTGTCACTGGGGATAAACAGTCCCCCATAAATGTGATCATCACCCTTGAACAAGTTTCCTTTGTTATAGATTAAGTAAGTATGATGAAACCCCACAGCAAATCATAGAATTATATAATACAGGTACAGTCAACCCTCGACTTACAAACGGCTCGAGTTACAAACATTTCGACTTACAAACCACTCTGAGAGAAAAATATTGACTCGACTTGCACACTTAGATTCGAGTTACAAACCAAAAAAAGCGTGTTTGAGGTGGGGAAAGCATGAAGTTTGAACTTTCAGTTAACCGTTGGCCAGTGAAGAGGGTGCTTATCTACTTCCTCGCTCTTCCCAGCATTTTGAGAGTGGATTTGGAGACAGTCTTCAGACTGCCTGGTACTGCCTGGTACTGCTGGTATTGCCTGGTACAGCGCGGTACGGACTGTATTTTTATTTTTTGGCGCTTTTTTAATTTTTGATTTTTGGATTTTTAAAGGGTGTTCCCTCCCTCCTTTGCTGCCCTCCCTTTCCCCAGAAGGTACTTGTATTGGCTTGTCTTGATTTAAAAGGTGCTTTTCAAGGTGATCTATTGTCTGAAAGGTGCTTGTTTTTTTCCAGAAGGTACTTGTCTTGGCTGAAAATGTGCTTTTCAGGGTGTTCTGTTGAAAAGGTGTCTGTTCCCTCCTTCTCTCCCTCATTTCTTTCCTTTTTTTAAACCTAAGTCATCTTAGATTAAAAGGAAAAAAGAAAGAAATTCTGCCCCTAGTGGTAGGAACGGATTAACCGGCTTTGCCTTAGTTCCTATGGGAAATGCCCCTCAACCTAAGAACCAAAAACAGCCGGAACAGATTAATTGGTTTTCAGTGCATTCCTATGGGAAATGCTGATTCGACTTACAAACTTTTCGACTTACAAACTGCCTTCCAATACGGATTAAGTTTGTAAGTCGAGACCCCACTGTAATAGACTTGGAAGTGGCCTATCAAGCCCAACCCTCTGCCCAATGCAGGAATCCAAATCAAAGTATATCTGACAGATCGTTGTCTAATTTTCTCTTGAATGCCTCCAGCAGCACAGGACTTTACTGTCAGCATTATGAGTTTCAAGTTTAACTTTTGGTCACAACCTCCACTGTTCAGTGCTACAGGCCAACTATATGGGAAGAAAAAACTCTACAGAAAGATTGAGGGGGGGAAATCAGAGAAAAGGAGCCCTCCATCAAAATTATGCATTTTCCTGTGAAGCTTGGTGTTAATAAAATATTTAAAGATTATGTTTTTAGTGTCAGACTCTATCCTCTAGTTTTGTATATCTTTAGTTGTCTACTTTTGATCATGCACATATCTGTCCCCTCTTTCATTTCATAAGCCTGTTCAATAAAACATCAAAACCTCAGGTAAATTGTGCGTTAGGTACCTGACCCGCTGAAAATTCTGCTTCCAAACCTTCTACTACACTAATCCAGCTTTGTGTTACATACAACACTTATTATAGACATATTGCTTTTCATAATCAAATGCTAGACTTCTTATATATTTCTTTTTCTAAAAAAAAAATACTTGTCGTAAAATGGATAACTAGACGGTTTCTGCCAATTAAAAGGAAGAGTGAAAAATGAGAATACATTGCATTTTATGTTGTATTATTTTATTTGCCTGGATGAAAATGTGAGTGCTTGCATTGAACAGCAGAGCTCTCCTAATAAAAAGTATCACCTTGCCAACTTTACACACTCATTTTTCTAAGACTAATAGGACTATGGAATGGTTTATGACAGGATATAAAACACTTTAGTTGCTGAAAGATCACTACCTGGCATCTGGTAAATAACAGGGTAGACTGTTTCAGAGGCAGGCAAACAAGTGCTGGCTCTTTAATGCCATCATTTTCTTATTTCCCTTTCTTCATCTACTCATGGTTCAGTTCATACAACAAGATCTCAAATATTTATGAAAATGTGAGCTGGCATTAGGTTATGGAATAGTATACCAATTTCAGCACATGTCTACAAGATTACGACTCAACATGTCCTGGTACAATCCATTTTTCAATTTTTTTTTGTAATGTAGTAAAACGTAAGTTAAAAACTCATATTAACAGCACACTCATATAAGTGTCTACTCAAAATTAAGCCCCAATGGGATTTGCTTCCAAGTATTCATGCATTGGACTATAGACTAAGCAACTCCTTCCAAAGACTTTCAACACACCAAAAATCCTCTGCGCACCAGTCTGTATACTGTATTAAACATGTACTGTATTATTTCTCCATAACATGCATTAATGATATTTGTGCCTAAGGGGAATCTGCAAAGTAGCCATTATTATCTGAGGTAAAACTTGAAACATAAACAAGGAAAAGGGTTAACAGTATCTTTTCCAGGAGATGTGGACCAGAGAAGGTCAGCAAATTATAGCCTTTAAATGTCAGGTTGACAGGCTGCCAAGCAGCAGTTAAACTGCCATTTTAGAACTTATGGTAAACAAGAAGCTTGCTATAATGATGGAGGCGGGGGGGGGGCGGAATCTGCTTTATGTGAGCTTTTGGTTGGTTGAATTGTACATTCTGTCATTGTCCTCTGGCTGCCCTTTGACTGAAAACTGTGTGAGAATGCAGGAGCAACTTGTAGACTAAGATAGGATGTACAGTATATCAACCCAAAGTTTTGGGATGAGGTACCCCACTCCTGGTTATGCAACATCCTCATGCGGAAGTCTGGAAGTTCTGCCCATTCATAAAATGAACGCTTGGAAGCTTCTGGTTCTGCCTGGAGCATATTTAATGCCAAATTCCACAGAGGCAAAAGCAGGTGGGCACAGGCTGTCAAGAAGGCAGAAGAAGTTAATTAAAATATGAAGAAGTTGACCGAGGGCCAATAGCTTGAGAAGTGCTATGTAGTATTTAATAAATCATATGTTATTATAATTATTTAATCATAATGTCAAATAATGTTAGCATCTTTTTGCTTTAGTTACTGGAATGTTTATTATTAATTCTAGCCTAAAGCAACTGCCGTAAGGGATAAAGGGGAAATAGGAACCAATGCTTTACATCTAATTATTGAAATACAGTACAGGATACCCAGCAAGGGGAGTCTTTACTTAGAATATAATCCTTACAAATTGGTGTAGAACAGTGGGACGGGGACCTGAGTATTATATTACTATACCCTACTGCAGACCTGGGCAAAATACGGCCCGCGGGCCACGTACGGCCCGAGAGATGTTGCTGTCCGGCCCACCGGTCATCACTCCCATCTGATGCTGGGATCTCACGGGTTTTGCCTGTTACTCTTGAGCCGCAGGCTGCAGAGCCTGCGGCTCAAGAGGCCGGAAGCGATCCTTGTGCAGGCAACATGATGACACATCACGTCGCCTGTGCGGGATAGAAGACAGTCAGAGAGGAAGGCCGCGGGGAAACGGAGGACAGGTGAGTTAGCTCAGTGTCGGTTTTTTTTCTTCCTCCCCCTGCGGTGAATGAATTACAACACTCACATAGTTAACTCTCTAAAAAGTTTAGGGAGTTAACTATGTCAGCCTTGTAGTTCGTTCCCTGCAGGGCCTCACTCAATAGGGGCCTATTACTACCCACCCCCAAACACAGTTCTAATTTTTCATGTGGCCGCCTATAGAAACTAATTGCCAACCCCTGCTCTACTGTAAGGACATTAGCAAAGTCACATCTGGGCTGACCTCCACACTTCACATGTGGCAAGCTGGAAGCCTAGCAAAGCCATCTGGAACATTGCAGGGGGTGGTATCTGGGAATGGGCCAATCCAACACCAATGTACCCCTGGAAGGACTGGTTCTTCATCCCAAAAGCTACCAGCAGCCAAGTCATCTGAGAGGTCTGGCTGCCCACTGGAAACCCAAGCAGGAGAGGGCAGGTGAAGGAAGCAAGGCCCAGAGAAGGGGGTCTCCAGGGAGATCAGATGAAGAGACAGGGAAAGCACTTGAAGTGTACTCGGAGGGCTCAAGTGAAGAGGTAGAGAGCTATGGTGAAGTGGCATAAAAGGTGACCCATTCCCCAAGGAGGAGGAGAAATGAGTTGATACCTAGGAGTATCTCAGCCCCTACTTGATGATTTTAAGTTCCGGGGGAATTCCACCCTTTTGCTCAATGCAGGAATCCAAATCAAAGTATATCTGACAGATACAGAATTAATTGTAGCTAAATTAAAATCCTAAAAATCAGATAATTAAAAGAATGGTAACACAACATAGACATTTTTCATGGATTCTTTTTGGACTTTGGATAATTCAGATCACCATCATAATGCAGGTTCTGTAGCTCCTG